TGCTTGTGATGGCATTGCATTCATAACTTAAGGTTCCTGGCAGGGTTGTATGAATGAGGTAAAGTTGAATCAAACTTAAATTCTCATCTTGTAACAAAATCTCTGCCAAATACCGTAGATTAGTAAATCTAACACCTCTTTAGAATCTTTTCGGAGATATGGATTTATATTTATTCTGTGTGAACAAGACATGTTTGTCAAGTCTGACTGGAGTATGGGAGAGTCAAGCTTGTAAGCTGTAGCTGTCTATTGTTATTTAAAGAGCAGAAACTACTCTGATTCCCCCTCCTCTCCACCTCCTCATGAATTGTTAGCCTCTTATGAGAGAGGGTCGTATTGATTAGATCAGTGGTTCCCAACCTTTTTCCCAAGGGACCCCGTTTTTTTACCAGTAAAATTTTGGACGACCCCCTCCCATTCTCTCTTCCAGTACAAACAGTATTAAGAAATGATAAAATTGTTCAAGTACATTTTAATATGCTTTGATTCAATAGATAACAGTAATAGTAGGCTCCAGTACAGAACAAAGTCATTAACAAAACCAAACAGAGCATAATGTGCTTGACAGTTTGTTTTACTTTTCTGAACACATTGTTTCTTGTAAACACTGATAAATCAATCATTCCTTTCAATAAACGTTTGACACATAAAAAATACACTGAGCAAAATGTACTTAAATGTGTATATTACTGTTTGTACTAGATTATTTACTGTAAAGGCTGTGATTAATCAACCAGTCCTATCTTTAATGAACTTTTGACACTTGAAAATAAAACAGTGAGCTGAGCAAAATGTTCTTAAAAGTGTGTTACCTTTTCTGTACTAATTATTTCCTGTCTTAATATCAGTAAACTTTTCACTCATGAAAAAAATGTGAGCAAAATGTAGGCTATAAACAAGTAATAAATGAAGTTCTAACCCCTTAAAGTGGAGAGGTCCTGGTGACCCACTGAGAGGCTTTGGCGCCCCCTTGTGGGGTCGGGACCCCCAGGTTAGGAACCACCTGATTAGATGCAGGAAGGTGTGACCTAAGCCCTTTTTACAAGATGCACCGTGCCGGCAAATCAGCGTAATCTTACCGCAATGGTGTGTCCTATAAACGCGCCATGCTGGCATGACGTTGCGCGAAATTTGCGGCATTCGTTCCGCCTCGCTTGTTATCGATATTGCGGTTATTGCTTTGGCGCAACAGAGGGCGGTGTCATTATGACATGAGGAGTTAAAGCCAAGCTCCGGCTCAAATGTATTGAAATCGAAAGTAAACACGGGTCGTAAGTTTTGCTTTTTGAACAAAATCAGCTGAAACGGCAGGAGTGCCACAGCGCTCCATGAGCGTCTCTCTGTTAGAGCTGGAGCTCAGATCATCAGAGGCTGAACAGGGACTTATGGGGACAGACACCTTTAGAGGCGACTTGTTAAAATAAACTTTACGATCTTCAATCGCAATAAAAAACAAGTTATGGGCGCTCTGCTTCACTGTGTATGGAGCTGTCCAAAATTACAACAATACTGGGTATCAATCACACAAACTTTATCTAAGATTGTTGGAGCAAGTATACCTGTTGAAGCAAAATTGTGTGTGTTGGGTATATATCCAAAGAACTGTGACTTTAGCATCAGACAGCTAAAGTTAATTGATTTTGGACTCCTGCAAGCGAGGCGCCTAATATCTTTGTATTGGAAGAAAATGGATGTACCCTCAAGCCATATGTGGGTCAAGGAGATGGCATCATGTATTGTATTGGAATGACTTACTTATATTGTCAGAGGAAAGGGGGTAGATTTTGAAGAAATATGGGGTTTCTGAGACATTATGAAGTGAATTAATCTGGAAAGTGATACTTGGTGCTGATATTTTTTTATTTATTTTATTTATTTATTTATTTTGTTGTTTATTATTGCTGTTGTTTCTTTTTAATGTATATTTGTTTATTTTGGGGACTATGTTCTTTAATATAAATATCATGTTAACTGTACTATTATTCTTGAGTGTTCTGTATTATAAACTTCAATAAACATAATGTTTAAAAAAAAAAGTTATGTCCAAGATAAACGGAAGTCCGCAGAGACCGCCCCCATACCCCCTTTATGCCGCCATCGTCTAATGTTTTATAAAAAGAATACCATTGTGCCACTGCCACGGTCTGACCACTTATAAATGACCTAAGGCTCTCTGATGCCGCCACCGCGTTGCAGAAAATTGACGGCATTGTTTTGTAAAAACGGCTCTAGACTAAATTAGCTTAAAAATTAGATTCGACCCTATTTAAAGTAGGTTTTTCACGTTTGAGATGGATAGCTTCCTTAAAGCCGGGCAGACACTGTGATTTTTTTTTTCACTCGAAGTGTTCAGCTTCAACTCAAACTGTACGACTTCCTCGCAAATCTCACGAGTCATGTGCTCACACTGTACGTATGGTAGCAACATGTTGGACCTATGTCGGATATGCTAAAAGTAGCAGTTTTTACACAACACGCTGGACTTTTCCTGTGCTGTTATTGATGTATGTTGTCTTTCTTGAGTGCTGTAGGAAGACACAGGAATTTATGGCGGTTGCATGAAGAAGATGAAAGAAAGAAAGTAAATCAATGTTTTATCAGTTTAATTTGACACAGCAGAAGCGTCTCCAGGTTTGTGTTATCTGTAGAGATCAAACATTCACGTTGCAAGTCAGTGATAGACTCACACTGCTGTTATCCAGTCTGAGGTGAGATGTCCACATAGGACAGGAAATAAGACTCAAAGGCAGGGGTGTCAAACTCATTTTAGCTCAGGGGCCACATTGAGGGAAATCTAGTCCCAAGTGGGCCGGACCGGTAAATTAAAAACAACTTCAGATTGTTTTCTTTGTTTTAATACAATCAATATAAAACAAGGCTGGAGCCTGAGGACAGTGTATCCAAAATAGTGCAACACCTTAAGTGTACTTGAAAATTTGAAAAAAATAAAAAATCAATAAATAAAACAACATTCCTTAGTGATTCCAAGAGCTTACAGATCACATGGCTAGATCAGTTTCATGCAGCACTTAAAGTATATTTGACTCATTTTACTTTACATCTTTTAGCTTTCACCAGCACATCAATATCAGAAGTCACATCCTGAGTGGCGGCCAACTTCAGGATGGGATTCAAGTTCTTGTGTGAGCCTTGAGCGCAGCTTTGTTTTATTTATACTCATTACAGAGGAAACTTGCTCACAAAGATACGTTTATTTTCACTCTACATTGTAAAGTATGAAAATAAAGTTTACACAACCAACTCGCGGGCCGGATTTAACCTGCTTGAGGGCCGGATCCGGCCCGCGAGCCGCATATTTGACACCCCTGCTCAAAGGCCTGCTGTCTGAAGCTCAGCTGTGATGTGGGCAAATTTTAGGTCCGGGAAATGGTGCATCCATATATTATTCTCCTGGAGAACCACCTACAAAGCATTAATTCCTACTAGAGACCACTGCAAATGTATTGATTAAATGAGTAAACCACTCAATGTTAGGACCAAATTATATGGAACAGACCAGCAAGATAGAATTTTGGTATGAAATTATGCAAAACTCAGAAAAAAAAGGTACGATCTTGTTACAGGACACATTTCTATGGAGGAGAGTTTGTTTAAATGTTGGCTTCTAGCCATCAACTCAAGTTTTGCATATATTATTAAGAAGAAGGATAAAACCATTTGAAAAGGTTCAATGCTGAATTAGACTTTCTTTCTTTATTTGACAACCGGCTTTAATTTTTGTCGTCGTCCTGCAAGCAGACATCCAGGAGCTGAGTTGAGTAATCCTGCTGTTTTGTTGCAGCACACTCAGCATATTTATGTAGATACAACCTTCTAATTTTTGGTGAAAAATTGAAGGATTGGCTGTTAACAAAATTGGCTGACTTGGAAGGCCCAGCTGAGCCCAGAGATTGTAAAAGCTGCCATCAATCTCCTCTTCCTCATTTCTGCCTCTTTTAGCAGGAGTGATGCATGCAGCATTCATGGCCCGTGGGAGGGGAAATGTGTTTCCTTGAACTTCTGCAAGCCTGTCGGTGAGGAGGAATATCAGGCCACCGGTGTGTTTTTCACCAGAGTGAACCTTGTAACTAAATGTGTCAGGTCATATCCCTAGAGCGCCCCCAACCCCCTTAACCTTGACACATTGATGGAGCAAAAAGAAAGGAGGGGGCCATGATAAATCTTCTATACATCTTCTCCTGATCCTGGTCCAGGTGCAGGTCGCACCAAAATACGCTTATTAGCCAGACTGGCTCGCTGGCCATGGAAAGGCAAACCGTCAGAGAGAAAGAATTCCTAATTTATCCAAATCCTTGCTAATCCAGTGAGACCCTGCTCCCTAATCCTCCGTATTCTCAGCAAAAGAAACGGAGAAAGATGGGTGCGTTGAAGGAATTTAGCAAAAAGAAATGTTTGTTTGGCTCTGAAAATAGATTTATAGCTTTTAATTCAAGAGTTGGGGAAAGAGGCTGTGGCTAAATGATTACCGTGGCAGTGATTACCTTAAAGAGCAGCTGGCGCTGCTGAATACTTAAGACTAATAATGGCAGCAAAATGCCAAGGTCAAGTTGCCCACTTCTACAATTAAACCTTCCACACTTCGTTTTATTGTCTCAAGCTTCATGTCTGAGTGAAAAGAGAGATTTTATTTGTATTTTTTGTTTATTCACCTTCTTAAAGATCTGTTGATTATTCACAAAGAAAGTGTTTGTTTTACCTGGAGCGTTATTGGTTCTAGAAAATTTGCTAGATTTGAATAAAACAGATGATTCATTTGTCTTTTGGTTGAATAAACGTCTTTATTTTATTTTTAATAATGTCACTGACAGATTGCAGGCTAGTATTTGTTTACTGTCCACTGTTATTTTTCTATAACTGTGCATTAAAGAATGGACGATAGGATTTTATCATCCGTGACTTTGCTCACAGGTTGGGAACAAAATAGCTTGTGTTTGCAGGTCCGATTTTTATATCTGTCCCTTGACTCTTCTGTTGCACAGAAATTGACATTGAGCGCTGTGTCCGTGAATCCATCAACCTGTTCTGCTGGACTCCAAAGAGTGCTACGTACCGGCAGCATGCTCAGCCGCCCAAAGCCTCTGCGGACGACAGCTTTGGGAAAGCAGCCACATACTTCTCGTCTGACTACCAGGATATGGCCAAAACAGACCTGGTGAGTTTTAAACAATGGCACAAGTCAAGATTAACAAATGACTTGAAAGTGGAACATTTAACTCACGTTTCTTATTGTTTAAGGTGGATTTGGGTATTTTATTCTTTAGTTTGTAGCAGATATTTAGCTTTTGGTTTAAGTGTTTGTGTTTTCATTTATGAATTAATTTCTCACAGATGATCAAACTTGTCTTTTCACTTTGTAATTTAAATTCTATCAACAGCACCATGTCATCAGCATAACTAACTAGATTTATAATCAACATCCCTCAATAGGTCAGCGCACTAAATTCTTACTCAGTGGCCTGGTGGTAGAATGTCCGCTCTGGGACCGGGAGATCGGGGTTCATAATCCCGGTCGAGTCACACCAAAGACTTAAAAAATTGGACCCAATGCCTCCTTGCTTGACACTCAGCTTTAAGGGGTTGGATCAGGGGTTAAACCACCAAATAGTTCCCGAGTGCAGCTGCAGCTCTCCTCTCCCCATGGGCATGGTTCAAATGCGGAGATGTAATTTCACCAGTGTGTGATGACTAGTGGGACTTTGACTTTAATACCACAGCTTACCGTTTTTCTTCAAAAAATTCCAAGAATAACATCTGAACACACAGACGACACAAGTAAAGTTCAGAGGGTTGAAATGGCCGAACATCTATTAACTTGAGTCCGAAGCTAGCCGCAACCGCTAGCTCGGACGCTCATGCTACCTGTCAGTCAAATCTAATTCTTTAACCCCCTCAGAGTTGTCGTCACTGTAAACTAGGCCTATTAAGCCTAAAATGTTTTTTTGAACCAGGCTGTAAATATCTTTATTTTGACACGAGTCAATGGAAATTTGCTCGTTTCTGGTGTCAGCCCCTAGAGGATTAAGGTGGAACAGCAATTTTAAGCACTTAACTGGCTTCAGGTCTGTGCAGCTCTGGTTCCCTTTAGCTTAGTAGTATACATATCAATGAAAAGAAAGAAAAATAATGAAATAAACACATTAAACATCTGTTTCAGAGTGTACAAACCAGAGTGCTGGCTGTCTCTGAGGCATGTTTCTTGATGTCTTTTTGTCACTCAGACCCTTTGTGTTTGTGTTTTTTTGTGGCTCAGCCCCAGTTTTCCTCCATCCATTCATTGTCTGAACCCGCCTTGTCCATGAAGGGCTGCCCGGGGGGGTGGGGGTGGCTGGTGCCGATCTCCAGCGGTCAATGGGCAATCAGACTGGGTACACCCTGGACAGAGAGCCAGTCAATTGCAGGGCAACACAGAGACACACAGGACAAACAATCATGCACACACACACTCACACCTAAGGACAATTTAGACAGGCCAATTAATCTAACAGTCATGTTTTTGGACTGTGGGAGGAAGCCGGAGTACTCGGAGAGAACCCACGCATGCACGGGGAGAACATGCTAACTCCATGCAGAAAGATCCCAGGCTGGGAAGCGAACCCAGGACCTTCTTGCTGCAAGGCAACAGCTCTAACCACTGCGCCACAGTTTTCCTTTCACACCTGAATTCATCACATCCCCAAAGCTCGCGAGCACTCCTGTCAGATCCATTTGCCGCGTGTCAAAGCTGTAATCTTTCCCATTCAGCCGAGACTCATTTGTATGAGTGTTGGCAGTGATGTGTGGATGAGTTTATGTGCGTCTCACCTCCTCTTAAGTGTGCCGTGTTAAAGTGCCACTCTGAGTGACAGCAGACGTAAGACGCATGAAAAAACCAGAAACGGAACCCGTTTAGATTTTCTTATGAAGAAGAGTCCCTGAAAGTTAAATTGCACAAACATGCATTGCTTTTATTTAAGAAAATGGGCATTTGCATTTGAAAACTCTAAACCTATCATTGGCTTTAGTCTGAAAGAACAAATACACTCCAAAACCATGTATAGCTGAATGGATGCATGCTGTTTACAGCGTTTGTTGCATCTGTCTCTCCTGCAACATTCCAGAAGCCGCTGTCAGCAGATTCTCAGCAGATATTTATCCAACTCAACAGCTGCTATCCAGCCTGTCTGGACCCAGAAACCTAAGAGGAAAAAAAATCAAGCATTTCTTCTCTGATGTAAACAAAGTATATGATTAAATGCAAATCTATAGTTTTAATCACATTTATGTGTGTTTTCGCTATGCAGTTTACATGTATCATAGCAAGGACTCAACTCCATGAGCTGATCATCTTCTGGAAAATTACTATCCTATAGTAGAGTGGTTCCCACCTTTTTTTCCTTGTGGACCCCAACCGCAACTTCTACCCAAATCACATTTGACACAAATTCACTCCAATCATAATACATTCAGAATACAAAATAAGTTTTTGTATCTAATAAAACCAGCAGATTTAGTCAAATTTTTACTTTGATTCAGCCTCACATAGGGAGCCTAAAGGTTGGTTTATGCTTGACGCGTCCACGAGGTCCGCGCGGCGAAATTGCGTCATTTTAACAACCACGCCCCTCCACCGCGTCTCCGCACGGCCCAAAATTTCCGCAACGCGCACCTAGGAAAAGTTCTAACCACGTGGACGGTCGAACGTGGAAAAACATGGCGGACCGGCAAGAACTAGTACGGCAGAGGTTGGTAAATACAGACATTTGTATGATTCAGCTCTCAGAGATCACCGTGATCAACATGTTGTTAATAATTCTTGGAGAGAAATAGCTCGCACTGTCGGAAAAGACGAGGACGCTGTTAAAAATGCTGGAATGCCATGTTGTAAACAGTAATTTCTACTTCTACTATGGTGTAGTGTTGGATGCATGCCGTAGAGCTCCATGCTGCCCCGTTCAGTTTGGGAGAATATTGGCTCACCGCAGAGACGAGCCGCACAAACCATAAACGCTGCGAGTTGTGAAGCGCGTTCCATCCGCGAGCCGCATCACCAAGCGGAAAGTGAACGCATCAAGCATAAACCAAGCTTAAGTCACACCCATCTACTTCTGGACCACAGGTTCTCGAAAAAACGAATACAAGTCAACGGGGCTATAAAAACTATTTTCTAATCCTGTTTGATATGCGCCATGGATTTCACATATGATGTCCGTGAATTTTAAAGACACATTCTTATGCCAAGAAAGCACTTATTTTCAAACGGGGGCAAAAGTAATCTTAGGTTTTGTGTGAAAATATGTCCAGGACAACAAATTTTCATCATCAAATTGATGTCATCGAACCAGACCCGGAGAATAGCAGAGGACAAATGGCTTTAAGTTTAGGGAACTTCAGATTCTGGGGGATCAGTAGCTCAACAGGTTGAGCGGGTTGTCCAGTAATCGGAAGGTTGCAGGTTCGATCCCGGCTCCGGGCAGAGAATGCTGCTGTGGTGTCCTTGGGCAAGACACTTAACCCACGTTGCCTGCTGGTGGTGGTCGGAGGGACCGGTGGCGCCTGTGCTCGGCAGCCTCGCCTCTGTCAGTGCGACCCAGAGCAGCTGTGGCTACATCGTAGCTCATCACCACCAGTGTGTCAATGTGTGTGTGAATGGATGAATGATACATTGTAGTGTAAAGCGCTTTGGACGCTATACAAGTGCGGGTCATCCTTCCATTTGGAGGAACGAACCACCATAAATATTGCCATGTGGGAAGTAGAGATTCTGTGGTGACGGGCCAACGTCTGATTTGTAGTCATAGGAATTACGAATTTTTACAAGCGGATAAATCTCAAAGTACGTGACTGGCGTGGTCGGAGCACACACCATGAGCCGACTGGAAAGGGAGAAGAATTAGGCCGGGGAAGCGCCGGGAGGTGAAGCGCTCACGAAATTCAGCTGCTGTTCGCTGCTCCTCAGTTCAGACCAGACGCTTGTTTCTCCGCTCCGGTCGAGGCGCGCCTCGTAGTTTTTCTTTTAACCACTTGGTGTCCTCCATTTCCTCTCTGCCTTTTCTCTGCTCTTTTCCTCTACACCCCCCTCCCCCTTGCTGTTTGTGTGTGTGTTTGTACGTGTGTGTGTGAACCTATGGTGTGAACCAGTTGTTAATAGCTGGTCTATGACTTTCTGCCTCTCTGTCCTGTTTGCTCCGGTTGAAAGACATCCAAAACCACACCCCCTTCACTTGGTCACACACACACACACACACACACACACACAAGTTCGCTGTGTGTGTGTGTGTGTTTGTGTGGTTTTTATGCAGTGTCTGTTTACGAACACATTTGACTATCGCAGAATTGTATTTTGAAATGCTTTATTTTGTTAAATTTACTGGCCTGCCTCTTATGTCTAGGTTTGTCTTCCTGCCAGAATTGACGCGGTTCACACGCGGCTTGCGAAAAAAATAGAGCAGACGCCAAAACGATCGCTGCACGGCGCGGGCTGGAGCGCCTGCGCGCGGCGCTTCGGCGGCCCATGTAGTATATAGAATAGGATAACAAGGGCGCCGAATGAAGGCGGTCCCCATTTTGCGGCGCTTCGGCGGCCGGTGTGTCCCCGGCGATAGGCTCCCTATTGTGAACAAGCAAAGGGTGGGAAGGAATGACTCCCTTTTACCAATAAGAGACCTCCAGCAAAACTAGCAGTACCAGAACCACAATATTTAATTAACACAACAAGATTGGACTGGTCCTAATTCCTGTGGGACAAGAATCCCACTAATCAAATACAAATATGGAAGGTTTATTTATGTTACAACAGGTTTATACATAATCACATTAAGGTTGCATTTGTCTCTAAGAAATAAAGGTGCTTTAATCTTAAAGTAAGCATGTTTGCACTGTTGCACCATTTTAAGGTATGATAACTGCTCTTTTAAACTGACCCTTTTTTACCCTTATCATTTTATATTCTGGCACAAGAATGCTGCTATGGGCAACAATAGGCACAGACACAATTAAACTGTACAGGTTTTCCATCTGTTGGAGGAAATGAGAGAAAACCTAAGCAAACAGTGGGAGTACATCCACTGAGAGAGGTCTCAGTCAAGTTTCCAGCCAGAAATCTTCTGTTAGACAATAATAAACCACTATGTCAGCATTCAGCCCCCGGCTTTTTATTGACTGTTTAGACCATAA